GTCCGGTTCAACACAGTACACAAAATCCGTGATCTGACCCCATCCGTAAAGGATGTTATTCCTGGCTTACAGTACCCCGGGGTTTACAAATTGAGTTGTACCTGCGGTGACTGCTATATCGGGGAGACAAAACGACATATCTTTGACCGAATTTGCGAGCACAAATCAGATTTGAAACACGGCAGAACGAATTCTTCTGCCGTGGCTGATCACTGTTACAACGCTGTGGGTGATCATGATATTGTTTTCTCAGATACCAAGGTACTCTGCAAACCTACCGGTTATTATCAGAGATTTGTCCACGAGGCCATCCAGATATACAAACACAGACATAACTTCAACTGAGAGGATGGTTTCAAATTAAGCAACCATTGGAAAGATGTTATAAATCAAGTCAAACGTTAGCTACCTTTTAATTGTACAGCAATTCTCATTGGTGGTATGCCAAACTTTAGATGCTTTTTCCGCATGTGTTGGCAGTCCACCACAGCCTTCCACCCAAACCCCCTGCAACTTAACAAAAGGCGGCTTGACTCAGCCCTCCTACCCACCCACGCCCCTTTCTGACTCCTCCCCCCCCCTTAACCTAGATATAAACCCGATCATCTCAGAGCTGTGTACTCTACACAGATTTTCTGCTGTGACTATTCCACCTGAAGACGGAAGCTTGTGTTGCCTCCGAAACGTCGTGATTTAATTGTTTTATTTTATTTTACCTACGTGACTTTACCGAATAAAACCAAAGAGTATAACGGGAGTGCAGTTCGTGGGTCCAGTTCGCACAACCCGCACAAATATTGCCTTGTGCTTGTTTAGTCCTGATCGATAATAACAATAGCAATGCTTTACTGCCGTAATAACAAACAAACATACAAGACCCCACTACATGTCAAAAAAAATCTGGTGCTGCACATGGCCGCTCCTGATGTCCCAGGCTCTTGCACTTGATGGCCAAAAGAGCCCCCACACCACCCCACCACTCCACCACCCCGACTGTCATGGGCGGTCAGCTGATGTGTCCGTTTTTATGGGAAGGGCCTGTTCCTCGCGGTGTCAAGTGTCAGTGTCACGCTGCACACAGAACCGTGAAATAAACAACTCTGTTCGCCACGCGCGCAGTGTGGGGCGGAGACGGGGAGTTAAAATTCGATGTTCGTGGCTCGGGGGGGCGGGGGGGTGGACAGGGTTAGAGCATTCATAATTAAAGCTTTTGGGTTAGATCGCGTAAGTATGAATGTGTCGCAACCCTCCACCAGCCGACACGGCCAATCAGTAAAAAAATGTGTCAAGTTAACAAAACGCCAATTAGTTACTTCTTCAGCCCACCGGTGTGTTTGAAGAGTGAAACCACAACATTGCGAATTTGATCTTGACTTAAAGCTTTCGCTACTGCAGGAGTTCATATTCTTTGGGTCTTTCGGTAAAGTCACGTAGATAGGTTCAAAGAAAATTACAAAAATAACAAAAAACGACGTTTCGATAGCAACACAAAGCGGTCGTTGTTTCCTGATGATGACCGCTTGCGTTGCGATCGAAACGTCGTAGTTTTTTTGTTATTTTCTTTGAACCTATCTATGTGACTTTACCGAAAGACCCAAAGAATATTTAGAATTTGAGTTTGAGTAATAGAAAGCGCGTGACAAGAGAAGTGTGTGGCAGTGGAACAGTGCAGGGATGGATACCAGTGAGTGTAGGGGGCAGGTAGGGGGCAACCAGGGGACGATGTGGTATCTTGCCCCAGGTCACGATAGGGTGAGTGAGGATTTATATAGTTAAATGATACTCAAACTGGATTTTGATCTACATAAACTAAAGTACGTTTTATTTCACCAGGTAAGGCCCACTGAGCTATAGAGCTCTTTTCAGAAGCGACCTGGCCACAAATGATAGTTCAACAAAGTGGGTTATCACGTGGAAATCTATAGCAGCCAAATACTCTTAAACGGGTTTTTTCTAAATGTGGAGGGAAATATCGGAAGATATGGCGAAATTTTTCTACAAGTTACTTTATACAGAACGTCCCCCTTCTCGCACACTGTCTCAACTCGACAAAGAGGTGGCAAAACTGTCCCCCCTATCACAAAAGATCTATCATATGACCTGATTGCTGCTGAAAATCAGCAAAGCCGTGATCCTGCTTTTTCTGGGTAGCAACCTGAGAGTGCACTGTGCGCTCTAGAGTAGTGCACGGTCTTTTAGTCTTAGACCTCTCAGAAATATGGCCAAACTTAACACAGTGCAGCACTGAGAGCTAAATCATACACGTTCATACGGCAGGTGTGCAGAAACCTTTCCTTACCGAGGGCCAAAAAATACTTTCAATACATTTGGTGAAATACAAATTAACAGTTCCTTCTGTGACTGAGGTCCGTGCAGCGACCGCTAAATGATCTTCATTCACCTCATGGTACAACTGTAGTATGTGGCACACTCGCAATATAATTAGATGTATATATTTTGTTTGTTTAAAGGTTATTGCCTCACAAACATGACGCACATAGCACACCATCATCACCAACCATGGTCAATCTACTTCGGGACGAAGGTCTTCTGAAGCCAATGCTATGTCTCATGGTCCAGCAATCTAACAATCCATTTTGTAACCGCACACACAATTATATCACCTCTCCATCTGCATATCGTCGCTCCATCTCTTCTTTGGCTGCCACTGTCATGTCTCACCACCCGCCATTAAATCTTCGAGTAAGCTGTCCTACTCCAGCCCTTTATGTTTCTAAACAATAACCAAATGCACGTCTCTAACCTGCGTGCGTTTTATAATCCATGGGTTTATTTTCCTGTCAGTATAATTCCAAGTATGTGCCTCTCCAGGCGTCTTTGCGTATTCTTCACCTTTAATTCCATTGTCTTTGCCAATGTCCGTGCCTTAGAACCGCATTCGTTATAAAGAGTAGCGCACGCTGATCAAAACGATCTTCGCTAAACGATAATAGGACACACATGGAAACAAAAACACATTTAAGCGATGGCTCACCAACAGGACTGGCTTTCCTGCCTCGTCTCACGTCACCGAGACGAGAGAGATTATGAAAACTGCTGCCACAACTCTCACGCTGCCCATTACACCCCCCCCCCCCCCCCCCCTCTTTAATGTGATAGAGAGCACGGCCATTAAAGCAGATCACGTAGCTCCACAAATGAACCTCGCATAATGTCCGTGATGCAGTCATTTTTAGTCTGTTGATGGTCGGCGATGCGGCAATCGACTCATCTCGACGAGCTGTACACGATGCACTATTGAAAGTTGAAATTTTTCGAAAACAGATTTGTTTTTTTATGTTAATATTTGGCGTTTCGACATCGCGGAGTAGCACTGATTTCGAATTGATTTGTACCCCAGTCGCGGAGTTAAGTAACACCCCTGGGAAAAAAAAAGTGTCCCAGAAATAAAATATTTAATTTCCTCGGCCATTTTGTATTATTCGGTACCCCGGGGTACCGCCATGAAGGTAAGGATCAAATCACCCGGCGCAAGGCGAGACAGTCACACGACATGACGCACGCGAACCCAACCCACGCACAACGCGCGCACGTAACGACGCCTCTTCTCGGGTCAACCGCAATCGTGACCGGCGGACGGACGGACGAGACTCGGCCGCGGGTGAACGCGTCAGTCAGAAGCACGGGGAGGGTTGGTTCCCGCTCAGCGTGAAATCCAGCGCGGCAGGACGTGCAGGCAAGAACACACATGCGTAGCGTTAAATTACAGGTCACAGGTGGAGAAATTGATAAGGGGGTTGAATTGTATGCGCTGCCTTTTTTTTCGTCTCAATTGTGCTGTCCACGTATACGGACACAGGCACCGCCACTGTTGTGAACCCACTGCTGGACGACGGTCTACCCCCATTCCGTTGTGGTCACTTAAACATTCTTCACCACACTGGTCAGTGTAGGTTGGTGAATGCGGGCAGCATTGGACGTGCAAGCGTACAAATACAGTGCGACAATGGATCTTGCTGCACTGCCCACCACATAGCCCTACAGCCTATGACACCTGCTAAAGGTTGGTGGCCACCCATTCGAACGCTATCCATGGTAAAAACCTGCTTAGCTTTCGAGATCTAACGATATTGTGCGCATTCTGAGTGATTTGGTGAGAGGATAATCTCAGATACGTGTTTATATTTCAGGCTTTTATAACCAGGTTATCACACGCCTCCTTTGTCCTCAGCCCTAAAACATTATCTTGCTTTTCCATGTTTACCAAAACAAGCGGTTGAAGCTAAATTGTTCTAATTGGGAAAAAAATGTGGAAATGCATGAAGATTAATTTGATTAAAAGAGTTATACAATTAATTGGTGAGCATTTAACTCAGACTTGTGTCAGAATGATCCACTGTACAGTAATTACATTTTACTTTTAATTAAAAATGTGGCTGAGATTTCTGTATAATTTGCTGGAGTTTTACATCTCTCATTTCTATACTGAGTATCATTCCCATAAATGTTTAAACTTCTTAGTTTTTCTTTTTAATGACAGTGTATCATATTAAATAAATAAATACACTCACTTTAACCATGTATTGCCTGCATTGGATTTGGCACAATGTGGATGTAAATATCGGATTTAATACGAAATCTGACATGATACATGAATGATGAAAAAATAGAAACAAAACATTTGCACATATGGCGCAAAAATCCACTGTATAGCCTTGACAGACTGAAGGGGCAAGTGCTGTAAGCGAGCACCCATTAAGTCCGGCATGCCACACAAGGGGGTGGGTGGCCTGCACCACGACCTTTGTCTCCCGAATGGCAATGTTTACACACTGCACCAAATACTCATTTGAGACTGGATCGACCTAGCGGAGGCCCAGGACCAGTTCAGATAATCATCACTGATGTTGGCCGAGAGATCGGGAAAGACCAATGGCGCAGACACACAAACACACACAATGCTACCACGATCCAGGCAAGAGCAAGTTATTCTGTAGACAAACGCACACTTGGCTCCATCGACATGGTTAGGGTCTCACCTCGACCAGACAGGACGGGGCTCCCGGCGATGGGGCTTTTTCTGTCACTGTTGAACACGAGTTGTGAGTCGTTCTCCTCTGCTCCTGCCCAGCTGCAGGATTGAATGTGGAACCAGGTAACTGTATTTTTTTTAGCTGTACCTCTGCAATCGTCTGGAACACTCTTCATTTCTGACATTCGAAGCCCACTGAAACTGTGCCACTTTAAATTCGAAATTTAAAACGTGTTTATTTCGCACCACTTTTTCTGTTTAGTTAGTTGTCCCTCCCGCACAGCTCCGATTAGTGCGGTTGGCTGCGTACGGTGCGAAAAAAGTTCAACATACATACAAAGGACAGAATACATATAGAAGCACTAGGCAAGGCAATCCATACATCTTTCCTTTTGGAAATTAGTCTCCAATGATGTCAATATTTCGGGCCAATCCAAAACAACAAAATTCGGATTGTCAGAAATGTTTTACTTACTCCCAATTTTCACATTTTTCAGATTCATCCCAAAATTGGGAACACATCCCTACTTCCCTTATTGCATACATTACAGCAATTGTTATCCAACACTTTGCACTGTTGAATCATATAAAGGATGGTGAAAAATGTTCTGGCCTAAGATACTATGTAAAATGCCAAACCAACTTCATGTGTTTTTGTGGCTGGGTGGCTCAAGGAGTGGACTACTGATCTGACAACACTGGGATCTTGGGTTTGAAACCTTTAGCCACCCACAATTAAATATGGTTCTCAAGTGTAGTTAATGGATGGTCTCAGGCCAGTCACTAATGCTTGCACAAATTGAACCATCATTTTAGATTTGGCTTTTCACCTAATTTGACAAAATTCCAGCTCTGAGAAATAAAAGGTTCCGTTTGACTGCCAAGGGACAAACATCTGCAGCAGGGTGCATGGGAAAGTGCAATACCCCCAGTGTGGATGCAAGGTCACTCGAAGGAATCTTTGAAGTAATTCTGTGATATAATCTTCCACGGGATATTCACGAACATGTCCTGTTCTGAATGGACATATATTTGTCTCATGACATGGCACTGACCGTACAATGGAACAAAAGTAGTAAATAACATTAAAATTGAAAAATATAAATAATGGGAAAAATCCTCCTCGTGGCAAATCACTGCGGCACAGTTTACCTTCACATTCATTCTTATCCTGTATCACATGGTGCCCCTATGTCTATACATGCAATGCAGGAGAAAATGTAGATATTGTGAGTGCTCGTGAAAGCAAATATCACACACAAGGCAGGGTTGGGTCAAAACCATGTGCACACCACGCACACACGTTCGGTCGTGAAATATACTCTCAAAAAAGTGTATTTTGAAACAAAATAATGAAGTTAGATTTGCAAGGCAGACCGAAGGTGGGAAGATTGTGCCACTGTTCACGCAATTGGAATGGCCCTGTGCATCAGACATGTGACCTGGGCCAAGTGTGTTAACAACATATCTTGACCAAGAAGTGAGAAAATAAACGGATGTAATCCTCCATACCTGAATGGGCAGGCACGAGGGGCTGGCTCTGGGTTTGTCCTAGCTGTGGGAACACAGACACACATACATATAAGTAAAGACATACAAATGCCTCCAACCAAATCACGTGGAATGTGCCCGATCTCATCCATTATTAAAAGCCTGGATAGCACTTGGATGGGTGACCACCATGCATGACATGTTGATTTAGGCTGCAGATGGCAGTGCAGCAACATCATCGTTCTACTGTACTTCTATGCTCTGTGTATGCTACCCACCTTCACCAACACACAACAAAGACATATCCCCAACCCAGTCACCTGAGTTCGATATCAGGCCATGGCTTAACATTGGTGGAAAGTGATAACTCACATTGACCTATGTGGTTAAGTACTTATTATTATTGCAGGTACAAATACACGTGTACACATATGCACACATACAAAAAGACAGACGAAGAGAAGCACTAACTTTTAATATTACTACAGACGTTATTTAAATTATTCACTTAATACAGGGTGTTTGAAAAATATGGACCCAATTTCAAAGCAACATGTTACAATTACACAAAAAGTTACACACGGTTTAATAAGTTATCAAGTTTTACTAACCATTTTATAAATGCTCTATGTGCCCTCCACCTGCTGTACGGACAACATCGAGACGATAGTTGAATTCGTCCCAAACGCCTCTCTTCTCACGCTTTACTCTGAGGTGTGTGGTCGCCCAGTGCTCTACCCCTTACATCAACAGCAGCCTGTTTCCTCAAATTGTTGCTACCAACGACGAACGCTCTTTGACATCGGCGGATCAATGCCAAAACGCCGTTGAAACGCACGCTGCACCGCAATAACGGATTCAGTCTTGCTGAACTGCAGAACGCAAAACGCCCCTTGTGTTTGCGGGGTCACCGTCTTGCCAATGACTGAGACTAGGGGCTGTTTGTGCGCTGGGAGAGGCATCTAGCGGTAATCATTTGAAACTCTGTGCCCCGCCCTCTCTATGCCCCGCCTTCTCTATGCCCCGCCTTCTATGCTCCGCCCTTTCAAGTGGTAAGAGTTTTACTCATGGGCGGTTCGTGGTTGCAGAGATAGAGATTTCAAATCGGGTCCATCTTTTTAAACACCCTGTATTTTCCAAGTAGGTTAATATTATGCAAGCGTGAGTGTAAAACTCATCACAAGTTATACATTAAATATTCTGGTTTATTTTAGTACTGCAGTAAAGTATGTTTTATATATATACTGTATTAACCATATTCTTTGGGTCTTTTGGTAAAGTAACGTAGATAGGTTAAAAATATAATTTTAAAAACTACGACGTTTCGATCGCAACACAAGCGACCGTCATCACGAAAGGCGAGCTGTTTTAAAGGTTTAAAATGGGCGCAGCCCAAGCGTCCTGGTATCAGAACGAAGTGTGCGTGGCTCAAGTGTTATGTTAATGTGAAATCGGAGAATCAAGAGAAGGGTAGACGCATGAGCCGTGGAGAAATTAACAACTTGTGGTACGCCCAATGCGGGGATTCGTTCATCCACTGACTGCTTCATACAAGCCTTCCCCAAACTGTGTTGGTCGCGTGGGTTACCATACTTCACCAAAGTGGTCGATGGATTTTGGTAAAGGGGAGTGAGGTTGGAGGTTTAGGTCAAATTTAAATATCGCTCGCCACTAATGTGAGCCATGGTTAGGAATCAAACTCGGGTCACGACAATAGGCTAACCACGTACAAATGTATTTTAATTACTCGCCAATTTATGACTGGATAAAGGCCTCTCCGCACATCGTGTCAATTATGGGGGTTATTTGACTATACTATGTTGGTCAGTGCTACATGGGGAATAGGGGAAGCACAGGACTGGATCAGTTATTACTCATCAGTGATGTTGGCCATGGCCCTTAATCAAACTCATGAAACATTACACGAAGTACTGCACCAAAGAACACATTCATATTTTTATTTACTATACTGCATTGAAAAAAATATATATCAGAACATAACGCCTCTTTCTAAAATTGTTTTGTTTTACTCTTGATTTGAAGCTTTCGTGACTGCAGGAATCCATACTCTTTGGTTCTTTCCGTAAATTCACATAAGTAGAAAAATTAAATTAAATAATAATAATATATCACGACATATTCTTGGTTCTTTCGGTAAAGTCACGTTGAAGGGAAACAATAAAATAATAAAATATATATAAAACAATTAAATTCTCACGACTGCAACACAAGCAGTCATCATCAGGTGTGAAAACCAACAAACTGTCAAATCACTATCCGTGGCGCTAACGTTTAAAAATAAATAAATAACTACAAACCGCCACTTCTTTCAAATGTTCTTGCCGTTGGTTTTCACACCTGATGATGACTGCTTGTGTTGCAGTCGAAACGTCGTGAGAATTTTATTGCTTTATATATTTTATTATTTTATTGTTTCCCTTCAACGTGACTTTACCGAAAGAACCAAGAATATTCCGTAACATTCCCAATAATTCTGCATCCAGTCACCACAGTTTACAATTTTACATACTCAAAATCTAAATAGAAACACCCTCACGTTTCGATTTTCGACGTTGAACAATAAATGTATATGTCGGACTGTAGATATTTAACATCACGTAATCAAAATCGTTGTGGGCACCACTCTGATATAAATACACTGCTGGATGTTGTTGCGAACATTTCCAAATGAGTACATGATATAAGTTATTAAAAAAAAAACATTCAATGACGGGGATGACGATGACGACGAAGTCGACGATGAAATGTACCTGAATAACAACAACAATTCTGACAATAACGACAAGTGTGTGCAGACACAGACGGAGTGGCGAGACACGGGATGCGACGGTGACGTGACCGCCGCGCGCGTGCGTCAAGACGGACGTCGGTGGCACGCGTGGCACGAAAGCGAACAGCCGCGTGAATTACGAATATGGGAATTCATGGAAAAACCCGACAGACTCAGACTGGAGGAATCCGATTAGATGTCCAGGATCGTGTTCTACAAGCTATTCTTGGGTCTTTCGGTAAAGTCACGTAGATAGGTTCAAAGAAAATAAAAATAATAATAAAAAAACCCTACGACATTTCGATTGCAACACAAGCGGTCGTCTTCAGTAGCTTGTTATGAGCACCACGGACAGCCACTAACTACCATTCTCTCGAGATGAGTTTTGATCGCAATGAACCAGGTATTAATTTAAGTAAAATATAAATCATAAGATAGAGCCCAGCCAAAGGTGTGTAACATATATACGCAGTACTGTATTTCCAAACAAGGATACATGGTTTTAAAATTCAGGTCTTGTAAGTTTGATAAAGCTGAACAAATTCATTCATGACACGTATGCTATGGCTCTTTACACATTGGAGAGATAAATGATAAAACACCAATGTGGTAAAACCACACGATTCAATATAAACACACTTTCACACAACAAATACAACATAATTACAATGCAATTTTGATTCATACAGAATCTAACTGCAACAGCAGTTAATAAATTTGGACATGAACCCATACACAACTGAGAGCAGACACGTAAATTATTGCCAATAAATTAATGAAACACAAGCTGAAAGGTGTGCAAAGAAGAAAATATAAGAACATCTGAAAGTTAGAGACATACAGTAACATAGGTACAGGTAGTCCCCGACTTACGATGGAGATGCGTTACGAAGACCCCATCGTAAGTCGAAAATATCGTAAGTCGAAGATGGCCTAGCCTACCCAGGAGTCTTAAATGGTGATAATTTAGCAAAACAGAGCAATTTACAGTACCGTACTGTATAAACTATATACTGTATGTATTTATTAATTACAATACTGTATTGCACAGTAAAATTTAAAGTAAAAAACACGGTAAATTCTTAGCCTACCTATATGAACTGCAATTTCATAGAAAGTTTTTTCAGGAAACAATCCTATCTGCTATAAAAAAAACTTTTAACATGCATTGAACGTATGTATCGTATCGTGGTAACCCTAAAATGAAATCGCTAAAGCTATGTATCATACATGCATTGAACGTATCGTAACGTATCATATTCTACTGTACTCACCAAGATTCTGTCCGTCGTCTGCATACTTGAACTATGTTAGGTTGTTGATGGCTACATGAACTTAGTTGTCGGAAGAGGAGGATGGCGATGATAAAGTTACAGTATCGTGCCTCGTACGCTGCTGCGTTTGCCTGCCGCGCGAAATAAAAAATATTTTACTATTTTGTCATACCGCTATCGCCATCGTAATATCGAAATATCGTAATAAGGACCGTCGTAAGTCGGGGACTACCTGTACATCCAAAAATAATTCGGCTTAGGATATGTGGCTTCGACAAACGATGGGGTGGCAGCCAATAGAGGACACCCACTGTGGAGATGGAGCGATAAAATCATCATGTGTGCAGTAGCCAGGTGAATTCTTGCATCGCGAGACCATGAGGGATGGCGATAGCTTAGGAAAGCCTTCATCCAGCAGCAGATAGATCATGGCTGATAATAATGATGATGACGACGAATGAATGAATATGCGAAGCAAATTTAAATAAGGCCTTTATTGCCGATATATTCCGCTGAACTTTATTTCCGCGTTACGTAACGAGTATTAGCCGTGCCCAATTTCCAGTTGTTCCGCTTCGACCGCCATCCTCCGTACCACAAGCTGCTTTCCACGGCAGCTGTTTGGAGAATTTGGCATCACACTGAGGCAGCCTTCACGCGTGACACAAACAAGGGGACCAGGCAAGAACCTTAAATGCCTCGGGCCCAAAATTGTGTGGGTGGATCATAAATCCATGTGTTAGCAGTTTATCTCCAGGTCTCAGGAAGTGAAGACGTAATCTAAACCTGCGATATGACATAAAGGTCACGGAAGGAGGGCACAGGTGTAGAGAGAAATGTAGAGAAAAAAATCCCTTAATGGTGAATGAGGCGACATTTTTGGTGAAAGAATATTATTTTATATACGAGTGTGTTTGCGCAAACCCCATGCACGCATTAATGGTGGCACGAGATTTAAATACATACTTAAAAATGTGTGAAACTGATTTATTTTCAAGT